TTCCACGACATCAAACTCCACAGTCTCCCCATCTCCAACGCTGCGCAGAAACTTCCTGGGGTTGTTTCTTTTAATAGCTGTCTGGTTAGGGGAAAGGCCAGAAGGGTCAGGATGGCTAAATGGGAGTCTCTCACCCCCACTGGGTCCACCACCCAATTTCATTTTTTCCAACATCTTTTACTTGTGGGCTGTGGCTCGAGAGTGGAGCAAAGAGAAGGTAGTCAAAAGTGTAGTAGGGGAAAAGCCATACGCTAGGGGCCTCAGAACCGACTGTGTAGTTACCACTGTCCCCATATGCCCTCCTCCCCTACCCCTCAGGGATTTTTAAAAGAGACGCAAGCATCATGAACTCAAACGCAAAACAGAAAGAGACAGACTTAAGTTGCAGAGTGGGTAAAATGTCCTGTGCTTCTTACCTCAATCCCACTGAGAGCATTCCACCAAAGCAGTGGTTCTCAAACTGCATTGAGCATCAGAATCACCTGGCAAGCTTGTTGGATTGCTGGGCCCTTCCCCAAGTCTGACTGACCTAGGTGGTCTTGGGGCGGGGCTGAGAATTTGGATGTCAGGTGATGCTGCTGGTACAGGGACCACACTTTGAGAACCACCACACCTAAGTATCTCTAGCCTGTATCCTTATCTCTGAACTTTGCCGATGACTCATTCCTGCAGTGTTAACAGGTCCCAGTAGGTAGTGAGCCTGCCTTGCCCAGTGGGCAACACATACTTTTCTCAGAGAGATAACCCAAGTGGGGCCAATGGCAGTTAATACTGCACTCAGTACCCGAGGCAGCTGGGGAAGAGAACGATTTCCTGGTGGGCATGCTGTTGTGAGATAAAAGCTGCAGAAACATTATCTGTGCTAAGGTTATGGCAGAGGCCTTCAAAGAGAGGGCTGGTTCCTCCCCTCAGACAGTCAACCTAGCTCTTACCTGGTGAACAAAGACATCCTCCTTGGTGTCATTCCTGCAGAACAGGATGGGTTGTTGTTAGGGGGTGACTTTGGTCAGGTGCTCACCTCCTCTGAGGACTCCCTAGCTGCCCAATGCTAAGATCACTGGGCCTTCCAGGGCTGCTTCCAGGGGGTAGACAGGACCCAGAGTGAGACAAGAGCCAGCATGTGATCTCCAGAAGGTGGCATGAAGAGAAGTATACCTAAAATCTCAATGAAAAACCTGGGCTTTGTGAGGAAGGGCAGAGGAGGAAGGCAAAGGCACCTTGAAGGTGCTAGGCAAGCTCTTTATGTGCTGAGCACTCCACCCTCTATGCCACGGGCACCTTAGAACCTGGTGGTGCTGGGTGCAACTATCTCTGGCCAACACCTCTTCTCCAACCCCCATCATGGTTGGAAAATTCCACTCAGTTTCTTTCCTTTACAGTCAAGGAGAAAGTGGGGGTGGGATAGAGGTGCACAGTAAATCTTCAAGGGGGACAAGTCAAGAACTTGCTCCAAAGAGCCATAAAACTTTATTCTAGAGGTGAACACCAGATTCAGGCCTGTCTCCCAAAAAACCGAGGGGCCAAGGGTGAGAAATCATTCTTTATCACTACCTTATCTATTACCCATAGTGTCCTAGCATCCCATAGTGTAAGAGTGTGTGCGTGTGTGTGTGTGTGTGTGTATATGAGAGGCTAGGGGCTGGTAGGCTTTCCTTTGGAACCTCCCAGGAGTCCTCAGTTTCCAGATTTAGAGACCTACCCTAAAACAAGTGTTCTAGCTTTAAAGCACTTGGATCTGCACAAAGGTCAGCCTGCTAAGAGGGAACTAGGGCCTCCCAAGAGGGCAGGGCCAGGCAGGGTTCCCAGGCTGGGGAAGGGCCCACTAGGGGAGACCTGGCTCTGCTCAGAATCTACCAGTACAGCCCCTCCCAATGCTGGGAGGGGTGGAGCTGTCTCCATTGTGCTGGCTCCTTTTTCCCCCAACCCCCATCAGCAGTTGGGCCCATCAGGTGGGGGACTCAAATGAGCCAACAGCTCACTAAGGGGGATGAGTTATGAGAGTGCAATGTGTACTGCCTGAAATAGGAAATGAGTGAAGAATCCAGCCCCGAGCCCTGAGGCAGAGAGCACAGGTACATTCTGCCCCAAAGGTGTGGCAAACTAAACCAGAAAGTGAGACAGACAAGCCCTGAGGGGAGAGTCAGAGGCAGGTTTGCCAAGTTCCTAGATCATTAACCCACTGCTGCCCTTGAAGATGTGGAGGTTTCATCTTGCCCACATTTGTGCTGCCATTAAAGACTTTCAATCAGCATCAGCTGGACATTGCAACCATGTGCCTCGGCAGGGGTAGAGAGGAGGTGGGGAGGGTGTCCAGTCCCACATGCCAGTTTGGAAGACACCCATTCCACCCGATCCCTGGGCTCCTCGGATACCTGTTGATGAATCCGTAACCATTCCGGACGTTGAACCATTTGACAGTGCCCAGGACTTGAATTGCTGCCAGGCAGAGATGCAGTGGGGGCAGTAAGATGGGAGAGGGGGAGAGATGGAGCTGGCCTCAGTTTTGAGACACTCTAAAATCTAACCTACACCCCTATTACCTATTAAGCTTAACTTCAGGTCAACCAGGTTTCACCCTGTAGCTTCAAGGTACTCTTAACCCACTTCCACCGCAGGAACACAGGCAGTGAGGCTCAGGTTTTCAAAACCCTTCCCACTCTTACCGCGTGTTCCTCACATCCCCCAAATCCTGGCTCTTTACCTAGAACCGGGTACTCACCTGGCTTCCGAAGCCTACCCTCCCCTCGGGTCATAACCGAGGGCTTCTCTAGCTCTCCCACTGGAAGGGTCCCCAGTACACCTGCCTCCCGGACGCCGATTGGCCTAGTACTAACCAGAGTCTGCAGGGTCTCGTGTCCAGCCCGCGGGGTGGCCAAGCCCACTCACCCTCGGGCCCTGGCGGGGCCGGCCCCTCCCCCCGCCCAGGGAGGTACAGCAGGATCCCGCGGGGCACCCTCCCCGGCCGGCAGCCCCCAGCCCGGCTAGTCCCGTGAGCCCCCGGGCCAGGCCCACCTTCAGCGTCCCAGCCCCCGCCGGGCTCCACGACGCCCCTCCCCCAGCCCCCGCCCCAGCGCCGCCCTGGCACGAGCCGCCCTCACCCAGCACCGGCTTGTCCGCCTGACTCCGGACCGGGGGCGCGGGGGTCCCCGAGGCCGCCGTCGCCGGGTTGCCCGGGGTGCGGGGGCCGGGAACCGGGGGCGTCCCGGCAGCGGGGCCCGAGGTGGCTCCGACCCCGCCGACGCCCGCCCCGCTGCCTGCTTTTTGTGGCTCCCCGGCGGGGACCGGCACCACCACCGCCACCACCCCTGCCGCCGTCGCGGGCGCCGTCGCCGCGGGGGCCGCTGTCGCCACCGCTGCCGCCTCCGCCTCGCTCATCCCGCCGGGTCCAGTACCGGCGCCCGCCGCCACCTCCTCCACCTCCGCCGCCACCGCCCCGGCCCGTCCCCCCGGCTCGCGAACCCGCCGCCCGGCTCGGTCCTCGAGCCCCGAGCCTCGCCCTCACGCCTGCAGCCCGCCCAGAGCCGAGGCCAATCGCGGCCGGCAGCCGCGGCGCGCGCAGGCTCCGCCTCCCGGCCCCAGGCCAATCCTAGCGGAGCAGGCCCCGCCGGCACGCCGGCCCCGCCTCCCGGACTTCGCGCGGAGGCCGAGGGCCCGGCCCACTGCGCCTAAGTACACCTGGGCCCCGCCCCGGCGCGGTCACGTGACAGCCCCCGCTCAGCCTATTGGCCGACGGCCCCTGCCCTCCCCCCTCGCTCCTTTCCACCGGCCGCGGGAAATCAAACGGGCTGGTCGCGCCCCAACCGCCACCTGGCCTGCGCGCTGAGGGCGGGGCCGGGGGGCGCACCTCCGGGGTTGCCCCTGACGACCGGAGTTGGGGGCCGGAGCTGTCTGGGTTCCAGCTGTGACCCGCACCGCCCTGCTCCATCCTCGAGACCGCCCTTTCCTCCCCCCCCCCCGCCCGGCCTGCCGGGACCCCCTCCCGCCGAGGCCGCGCCCCCGCCGGCGGGGCAGGCTGGAAGGCGCCGCAGAGCCGTTTTCCCAGCACACTATTGCTTCCGCACGTGGGTACCTCTCGCTTTTTGTGTGTGAGGTAAAGCAATATAGAGAGCAAAAAGTTGACCGAGTTTTGATGCTTGTCTTCGTCCTGAACGCCTCTTTCGCCCTAGGCGTTGCCTCGGGCGCCCCGGGCCGTGCCAGCCTCCCTCGGACGCCGCGGCTCGGGTCCACCACCCGGGAGTCCCCCGGGCTGTGCGGGCCGGCGCCGCGGTCTCGACCAGGGAGGGGGTGCTCGGGCCGGGTGCCCTGCCGCCCCCGCCATCCCTCCGCCTGCTGCCTCCACCTGGCCGGGCCCTCGGACTCCAGGCCCTTGCGCGGGCCATTTGTGTCTGCCAGGAACATGTCATCCGTGACTCTCAGGGTGACCTGCAGTACCAGTTTACTCATCACTTCTTTTGATCGCACCATCCTTTATTTTTCTCATGGCATTTTTGAAAATAAGCACCCTGTTCATTGGCTTCTTTAGTCTATCACCCACCCCAAGCCTGGACTGTAAACTCCACGGCAAGAAGAAATGTGTGGTTGATGCCTGCAGCCTGCAACAGTGCCTGGCACAACGTAGACGCTCAGAGTTTCCTGAATAAGTGAACGGTCCCTGTTTCACAGAAGACGGAGGCCCTGTGGGAGGCTAGTCCTCGGTTCTCCGGAGCGCGGGGGTCCAGCCCGAGAAACGCAATCTCCCTCCCAGAAAAAGGCGGCTACAGAACTTGCTCCTCAGGAGGGCCGCCTCTCTGACCCGGTGAGGACGCGCGCGGCGCTGAACATCGCTTCTTTTTAAAAGCCCGGACGGCACGCCCGGGGCAGCACGCGTGCCTACACGCGCCGCTCGGCCCTCCAGAGCAGCCCGTCTGCTGTGCAGCGGGCGGCTCAGGCGCCGCCAATCATGGTCCCAGCGCGCCCTCTGCCGGCCGCTCTGGAGGCTGCCCCCACCGGCGTCCCCGCGGTCCCTCCCTCCGCTCCCTCCCAGCCCACCCCACCAGCCCTTTCCAGTTGAGCACGCTGTTCCCAGAGCACCAGACACTGGACAGAAAAGGAGGAGAAAGACGAGGAAACAGCTAAATCACAACAAGGTGAGGCCATGAAAGGGATGGAAATGACCGCCTTCCCCTTAGACTGTTAAGGACCGACTCACCGGCAGTCCTGAGCACAAGGGATTCAAGAAGCTTGAGACCAAGACTGGGATACTTCACAGGGTCGCCCTGGCACCAGAAGGATCATATGGAAGGTGCAGAGGGAGCTTGGATGTGAACTGGTTAACTCTAAGGTAGAGGGTGAGACGAGAGGAAGCTCCTAGGGAGGGAAGGGTGGGCCCTGTCTGTATTAACAATGTGTTAATATTGTTAATATTGTTAACACACACACTCGCACACACACAGGCATGAAACAACACCAGGGCATGCAGCAGTTACATAATCTAGTAGTTCCTTGGATAAGAATCAGTGGATGCTACACAGAGAAATGTAATTAAGTCCTCTGTTCAGTTGTAGGGTTTGTGTTTGACATTTTCTGGTTAATTACTTTTTTCTTATTTAAATATTTTAAGTGCTGTAGATAATAATGGCTCCAGTCATTCTATAAAATGAGCTTCCTCCTTTTTCTGTCACTCTTTTGCCGTCTGCTTCTGCTCACCTGAACATGTCTCTTGTCTCATGTGTAGCCTGTTAGTCTTTTTTTTCCCCCAAAGATTTATTTATTCATGCATACAAGAACCCAGGTACAGACCAGATGTGCAGGAGGGTGAGAGGATTCACCAGAGAGAAAGCTGGGAACAAAGCAGGCAGACTGACTGAAATACACTGCTGAGGGGAGCAGCGGGGGAAACAGGAGAGGTCTGCCGTGACTTGTGGGTATTTCCCCAGCCGGCCGGGATCGAACCTGCACTGCAGAGGCTGCGGACAGCTTCACAGCACTGCGCTCTATCACCTGCGCCACCAGGGAGGCCCTAGCCTTTAAGTCTTTAATAAATAAAAATAACCCCCCTGTCTCCTTGCATCTATACATCTCCATCAATTCAACACCAAACTTCCTGAAAGTAGTCTTTCCTGTGTCTCTGCTTCCTCATCTTTTTTCACACCTACCAAGCCAACACTGAGTCCACTTCAGCAAGTCAGTCTATAGTCCCTTCTTAACTGAGATATTTCATGGATTGTTTGGGTTCTCTTTCTTCTCATTCAAGGAAGTCTTCTCATTCACCATTCAGTGAAATGTTCCTGCCATAGTTTCCACAAGTCAATCTTCCCCTTTCTCTCAAACCTTTCCTTTCTGGAGGTCTCCCTGGTGGCGCAGGGGTTAAAGACACAGCACTGTCAAGCTATTGCCCACCACTGCAGCATGAGTTTGATCCCTGGCAGGCCAAGGAGCTGACTCACATGGTGCAGCAGACCTCTCCTGTCTCGCCCACTGCACCCCTCAGCAGTGTATTTCAGTAGATCTACCTGTTCTGCTCCCCACTCTGTCTCTGGTGAATCCTCTCACAACCTCCCTGTCCTGCACCTCAGGTCTACACCCCAGCTCTTGTATGCATAAATAAATAAATCTTTTTTTTAAAAAAAAATACAACCTTTTCTTTCTGGCTTATTCTCCACCATCCCTGGTCTTTCTTATACTATCTTTTGCCACTTGCCTTCTACTGGTTGCTTTATGCACGCCTAGTTTTTGATGAGTCTTATATCTGTGTCTCCACCAGCGAGTTTTTCTCACCTCCCATTAGACCTCTGAGCCAGGCATTCTGTAGCCAATTGCTCCTCAGACTTCTGAAACTTGTTAAGCCCACATCTAAGCTCCTCTTTTTCCTCCCTGCCATCCCCATCATTGCTGAGTTTTGTCATCACCTCTTCCTTACAGTCACCCCTTAGTGCTTATTCCTCATTTGTAGAACAGTTTCCCCAGCATGCCCAGGCTTAGCACTGCAAAGGAGAAGACTTGTATCAGGTTAAGATAATATTGGAAGGATTGAAAAGATGGGTGTCACCTCTGTCCTTTAGTACCAAATACCTCCAGCAACTTTCCCTTCCAACTTTCAAATTGCAACCCAAATCAGAGTTTACTTCCTCTTTTCTGATTCCTGCTCTTATTTCTCAAGTACTACAGAGAGAGTGTTCTGTATCTGCAGCCTCCATCTCCTATTCACTCTTTAGTTGCTGTTACCACTGTCCTAATCTCTTCGCAAGCTCTGCTAGCACTCTGCCAAATCCTTGATCCTTTCTCCATCTTCTACCTCCTGGCCCCATCCACCATATCTGATGTTACTCTCTACCTCCTTCTTGATACCTCTTTTTTAGCTAACAGTAAGAGTTAATATTTATTGAGTACTTGCCGTATGCCACACACTGTGCTAAGCACTTTAGATACCTTCATTTAGTCCCTATAACAACATTATAAAGTATATATTATGATAATTATCCTCATTTTTCAGATAAGTAAATTGAGGTATAGTGAAGCTAAACAACCAGCCTAAAGTCATATGGCTGTGGGACAAGCCAAGCTGGGATCCAATGCAGATCAGCCTAACTCCAGAACCCATCTTCAAAGCCACTAGCTGCCTTCTCCTTTGTTGGGACTACATTTTTCCATCTTCCTCAACGATCTCTTGGCCCCACATACCCTCCAGATCATTCCATAGGTAAGACTTTTTCTTCCAAATTACAGCTCTTGATATACTGACTGCGTTACCTATGTTCTACTTCCTCCCTTGATGGGACACTTAGGAAAGATATTGATATCTGCCATCTGGACTCTTTTTTGCCCCATTTCTCCACTTCTGTCTATGTAGCAGATGTAACTGCAGACTGTTTTCTTCTCAGACTTCTTCATGGGCTCCTTAGTCTTTTACTTTGCCCTTTCTAAAAGTCAGAATCCCAATTTCTCTGTTCTTTTGACTCTATAGCCTCTCCTTTAGAGAACTCATCCACTCCCACCTTCAGATATGACTGGTCATGTGTCCCCCAAAATATATGTTGAACTCCTAATCCCTGGTATCTGTAAATGTGACCTTATTTGGAAATACGGTCATTACAGATGTAATCATTAATCTCAGTGAAGATGAGGTCATTAGGATGGGCCCTGCTCCAGTATGACTGGTGGCCTTACAAGTGGAAACTGCCATATAAAGACAGACAAACAGGGAGATGCCATGTGATGACTAAGGCAAAGACTGAAGTGCTACAGCTGTAAGCCAAGGAGCACCTGCTGCTTTCAGAAGCTGGAAGAGGCAAGGAAGGATCTTCTAAGAGAGGGAAACCCTGCCAACATGTCAATTTATCTTCTATGCTAGAGAGTTATAAGAACAAATTCCTGTTTGTTTGTTTTTTTAAGATTTATTTATTTATGCATACAATAACTGGGGTATAGGCTATAGGTGCAGGAGGTGAGAGGATTCACCAGAGACAGCATGGAGAACAGAACAGGCAGATGACTGAAGTACACTGCTGAGGGGAGCAGCGGGCGAGTTAGGAGAGGTCTGCTGCGCCTTGTGGGTTGCTCCCTGGCCGGCTGGGGATCAAACTCGTGCTGCAGAGGCTGCAGACAGCTTCATAGGTTGCATCTTAACCCCTTGTGCCACCAGGGAGGCTCTCCCCTGCTTGATTTAAGTTTTTGCCTCATCACTTGACTGCTTTGTGGAAAATAAATTGGAGTAAGGCAGAGGTGATGGGGCATAGGCTAGTGTGGGGGCCATGAGCAGGAATGCAAGTGAGCCGTTTGAAGTACATTTTGGAAATAGTGTCTGTAGGACTCAGTGATTGACTGTTTTACAGTTCTCCTTCTTGATTCCCTCTGAGTATCTGGCAGTTTCTTTGCTTGGATTGTATTTCATTCATTCTATAAAGACTCAGAACTTGGGACCTCCCTGGTGGCACGGGGGTTAAAGAGAACGCTATAAAGCTTTCGCCAGCCACTGCAGCATGAGTTTGATCTCCTGCCTGGCCAGGGAGCAACCCACATAGTGCAGCAGACCCCTCCTGCCTAGCCTACTGTTCCCCTCAGCTTACACCCCAGTTCTTGTATGCATAGATCAGTAAATCTTTTTTTTTTTTTTTTTTTAAAAACACGTTCATATCCAATTTTTAATTCATATTTTGGCTCTGTGGTAGATGCTGGGAATGCAAAGATCCTATTCTCACAGAGCCCACAGTTGTGTGGACGAGTGCTGCAGGACGAGTGCTGCAGGACGAGTGCTGGGGCGGGGTGAGCACAGAGGCAGTGAGGCAGAGCAGGTGCCACCTATCCAAGTCAGCCTGGGAGTGTCAGGAATGGTGTCATTGGGAGGTAAAGCCAGTTCCAAGTTGGCCAGATGGAGGAAGGGCAGGCAGGAATGGTAACAGGAGTGACCAAATGAGTGTGACACATGCATGGGCCCAGAACCCAGGATGCAGAATTGGGGTTGAGGCCCCACCTGTCCTTTGGATCTTTCTTTCTTTTTAAAGATTTATTTATTTATTTATACAAGCACTGGGTAGTCAGAAGCGCGGGAGGGTGAGAGAATTCACCAGAGCCAGAGTGGGGAGCAGAACAGGCAGACTGAAGTACACTGCTGAGGGGAGTAGCGGGGCGGCAGGAGAGGTCTGAGCGCCATGTGGGACCCTTCTCCGGTGGCCGGGGAGCAGCTGGGAATTGAACTGGCGCTGCAGAGGCTGCGGGCAGCTTCACAACCCAGCGCTCAACTGCTGCGCCACCGGGGAGGCCCTGGATCTTTCTTTCTTTCTTTTTCTTTTTTTTTAAAGATTTATTTAATTATTTATGCATAGAAGAACTGGGATGTAGGCCAGAGGTGCCCAGGGTGAGAGGATTCACCAGAGACAGAGTGGGGAACAGAACAGGCAGACTGACTGAAATACACTGCTGAGGGGATCAGCGGGCTAGATAGGAGGGGTCTACTGCACCATGTGGGTTAGCTCCCTGGGAGGGGATAGAACTCAGGCCATGGTGGTGATAGCTCTGAGACTTAACCCCTATGCACCGGGAAGCCCTGGATCTTTCTTATTCCTTGAGGTATTCTTTTTTTTTTTTTAAGATTTATTTTATTTATGCATACGAGCACTGGGGTACAGGCCAGAGGTGCAGGGGGTGAGAGGATTCACTAGAGACAGAGTGGGGAACAAAACAGGCAGATCAACTGAAATACACTGCTGAGGCGAGCAGCGGGCGAGACAGGAAAAGTCTGCTGTGCCACATGGGTCACCTTCCTGGCCAGGGATCAAACTCACACTGCAGTGGCTGCGGGTAGCTTCATAGTGCTGAATCTTAACCCCTTGCACCACCAGGGAGACCCCAGGTTATTGTTTTTCTTATAATTTTCTATATACTCCAAAATTTTCTATAATGGACTTATATTTTTATAGTAAAGAAAATTTGACAGAATCGTTTTAATAACATAAAACCAGCCGCCGGTCTTAGCTGGGTTGCGATCTGCCCGTAGCCTCTGCGGGGCCGGTTCGATCCCACATGGCGCGCAGACCTGGCGCGCAGCCTTTGGTGCCCTCTGCTCCCCGCTCTGCTCTGGTGAATTCTCTCACCCTCCCGCGCTTCTGATGTAAGTGCAATAAACATAACACAGCTGTGTTATCCTTAACTCCAATCCTACCCACATTCCCCAAACCTGTTTTGCTTTGAGTCTAATGTACATACCCCATCTAACTATGAGCAGGCTCCCCAAAAGTCTTGACTCCCAGAACCTTAAGATTTCCCAGTTCCTGTATTATTGCATTTACCTTCAGGAGTGACTTGGTCATGCAGACTGAAGGCACCCTTGATCTTCCCTTTGACCTCATCTCATTGAATTAACCACTAAGTTCCATCAATTAAAGCTCCAGATGTCTCTGGTTTTAATCTTTTCTTCCTCACTCCACACCACTACTTTGTAGCAGGCTTCTTTCTTGCTCACATGGGCTGCTGTCAGAGGCTCCCCCATTATCAACACCGCCTTCTAGAGTGGGACTTTTGTTACAAATGGTGAACCTACATTAGAACTCATCCTAAGTTAACTTAGGGTTCACTCTTCATCCATTTTCTGAGTTTGAATAAATTTAGGATATATCCACACCATTGCAGTGCTGTCCAGAATAGTTTCATTGTCTCCAAAATTCTGTCACTTCACCTTCACTTTGATCCTGTGACCCACAACTGGTATGAATTTCCAAGAATACAGCCACAGGGGCTCCCTGGGGTGGCTCAAGGGATTAAGATGCAGCAATCCCCAGCCACTGAAATGCAAGTTCAATCCCTGGCCAGGGAGGTGACCCACATGGCGCAGCAGACCTCTCCTGTCTCGCCTGCTACTGCCCCCAACAGTGTATTTCAGTCAATCTGCCTGTTCTGTTCCCCACTCTGTCTCTGGTGAATCCTCTCCCCCGCCTCACCTCTTGCCTTTACCCCAGTTCTTGTATGCATAAATAAATAAATCTTTAAAAAAAACAAAACAATACAGCCACATCAGTGACTGCCTCTCTGTTACCTACAGAAAGAAGACCCTCTTTTGCATAAATTCAAGACTCCATGATCTGGCCTGGGTCTGTCTTCCCTGCCTTACCTTTCATTTACAATCTCTGCCCACTACCCCCAACCACTGACGTGGCTCTTTTTCTCTGTTCACTCTGCACATCTTCCTCCATACATTTACTCTCATTGTTCCAACTGTCTGGAATGGCCTTTACTCTTATTTCTACCTTTCCCCCTACATTCTACCCGTTTTTCAAGATCTGTTTATTTTTTTTTAATTTTTTAATTTTTTTTTAATTTTTTATAGAGGCATGTTTTTATTTATTTATTTGTTTGTTTGTTTTGTTTATACATGCACTGGGTACAGTCAGAAGCACGGGAGGGTGAGAGAATTCACTAGAGCCAGAGCTGGGAGCAGAGCAGGCAGAAGGACCCAAGCACACTGCTGAGGGGAGCAGTGGGCGGCAGGAGAGGTCTGCGCGCCATGTGGGACCCTCCTCCAGTGGCCAGGGAGCAGCCGGGGATCGAACCAACGCTGTAGAGGCTGCGGACAGCTTCGCAATCCAGCGCTCAACTGCTGCGCCACCGGGGAGGCCCAAGATCTGTTTATTAATGTTGCTTCCTCAGGAACTCTTAGTCCAAATCTGAATCACGTGACAGATTTTTAAGGACCACCTTACCTCCAATCTCTCCTTCAGCCCTTCTCTTACACTGCTTCTGGACTATCCTGATCTAACACTGTTTTGTTTATATCAGAACCACCTTCCCTATCAGTCCTTATGAGTAGCATGCTGCTTAATGTTTAACAACCAACACTAAATTGAGGGTACTGATTTGCCGCTGGTGGAAACTGATTTCCATGGTGGAAACATTTACACCATGACCACTTTTCAAGATATCTAAGACATTATTGTAGGTGGATGTGGCAAGAGATGGGCACAATTGGTTCTCATAAGCCTATGTAGCAGCCTCCATGCTTCCCAGTCAAAACATTTCATCGGTGTTCTTTTTTTTTTTTAAGATTTATTTATTTATTTATTTATTTATACAAGCACTGGGTATAGTCAAAAGTGCGGGAGGGTGAGAGAAATCACCAGAGCCAGAGCGGAGAGCAGAACAGGCAGAGTGCCCAAGTACACTGCTGAGGGGAGCAGCGGGCGGCAGGAGAGGTCTGCGCGCCATGTGGGACTTTCACCTGGTGGCCGGGGATCGAACCGGCACTACAGAGGCTGCAGGCAGTTTCGCAGCCCAGCGCTCAACCGCTGTGCCACCGGGGAGGCCCCAGTGTTCTTTATAGAGTACTTTTTGTACTATTTGCAGCTCTTCTAAAAACCAAAACTGTTTCTAAATAAAATGTTTAAAAGGTCTACCAGAACAGATATAGACTCATTTTGAATTCTTTCCCCAGAGGGCAAAGAACCCACTCTTTTGGGGTTGAGGCCCTATAAGTTCAAAAGTTCAACTTTGTAGTTGAACAGGCATTTGTATTTGTAGTTGAACAGGCAAGGCTTTATTAGAGAGACTCATGCCTGAGGGAGCCAGGCTATATTCTCCTTTCCCAATCTGGCTTCCTCAGGCATGAGTTGCTCTAGTAAAGCCTTGCCTGGTTCAACTACAACTAATGCTCTCTTTTGAATTCTTTTCCTAGAGGGCAAAGGACCCACTCTTAGGGATTTGAGGCCCTATAACAATTTGGCAAACTTCTTTCTCGGCAAAATGTGGGTGCCCTCTAAAATGTTACTCTCTGAGACAAATATGAGAAAATAATGATGTTATTTATCAGGACATAATCCAAAGCCACTGAAAAACCTATGGAAGGGTGTGGGCCTCCTGGTGGCACAACTTATGAAGCTAGCCACAGCCACTGCAGCAGGAGGAGTTCAATGCCCCGGCCGGCCAGGGAGCAACCCACATAGTGTAGCAAACCTCTCCTGTCTCACCTGCTGCTCCCCTCAGCAGTGTATTTCAATCTGCCTGTTCTGTTCCCCACTCTGTCTCTGGTGAATACTCTCACCCCCCACACACACCTTTGCCCTGTACCCCAGCTCTTGTATGCATAAATAAATAAATCTTCAAAAAAAAAAAAAAAAACTATGGAAGGGTAAATGGAGGGTTTTTCAAGAATATCTAAATTCTAATCTTGGTGAATGGACACAACCACAAGAAGATGGGAAATGAGTCTGAATGTCATTGAGACAAGATAGAATCTGATCAATTGCATTTGAATTCTCAAGAAAGAAACCTGTAGCTCTCTCAGTGAATACCACCAAGATGGTGTTCAGGCTCTTTGTGGAGGGTGGCTGAGTGGCCTACATCTCCTTTGGACTTCATGAGGAGAAGCTGGTCATGAATATAGAAGTTATTGATTAGCAAAGGGGTTTGGTTGATGGGCCTTGCACTCAGGTAAGGTAACAGGCTATGACTTTCAAATGCATGCAGCTTACTGACTTCATATTCAAATTCCCACGCAGTGCCTGCCAGAAGTACGTCTGACAAGTCTGGCAGAAGGCAGATATCAATACAAAATGGAAAGTCACAAGATGGGCCAAGAAGATTGAAACCAGAGAAAGGAAAGTCAACATATTAGATCAACATATTAGATCATAATGAAGTCATAAAGGCAAGGAAAATAAATAGAAAAATCAAGTCAAAGTTTGAAGCTTCAAAAGGCAGCTCTCCTGGAAGCTTCTCCCAAATAAGCACCTGCTGCTAAGGGTGCATCGCTAAAAACTGCTACAAAGGTTCCAGCAAAAAGATGGGGGACCTCCCTGGGGGTGCAAGGGGTTAAGTTGCAGCACTGTGAAGCTATCTGAAGCCACTGCAGCATGGCACGAGTTCCATCCCCGGTGGCCGGCCAGGGGATGGAAGTAGATCCACTGTATTTTTCAGTAGATCTGCCCGTTTTGCTTCCCACTCTGTCTCTGGTGAATCCTCTCACCGTCACCCCCACCTCCAAAAAAAAAGATGGAGGCTGCAGGCAAGAAGTCTCCAGCCCAGAAAACTGCAGGCCAGAAGGTGGCACCTCCAAAAGTTCAGAAGGGTTAGGAAGTTCCATCCCAGAAAACACCTGCTCCAAAGGTATCTAGAAAGAAAGCATGGGAGCATACCAGGCTATTATTTATGTCATAAATGTTCTTTCTAATATGCTGGCAGAGCAAAAAAAAAAAGGTTTCCTTATAAAAGTGACTTGATTGGCAAAATAAAATGTTGGGGCTGAGGGACTGACTAACCTGGATAGCAGTCATACTATAGATACAATGCTACCATGAGGCCCCTCTAGGCACTCTCTCACCACTCTATAATACTATAACATAGTTTTCCCTTTCTTTCTATGGTTGTCTTTTTTTTTTTTAATCTATTTTTCTTTTTTTTTTTAAATTGAAGTTTTTTTTTTTTTAATAGAGGCATGTTTTTATTTATTTGTTTGTTTGTTTGTTTATACATGCACTGGGTACAGTCAGAAGCGTGGGAGGGTGAGAGAATTCACCAGAGCCAGAGCGGGGAGCAGAGCAGGCAGAAGGAAGTACACTGCTGAGGGGAGCAGTGGGCGGCAGGAGAGGTCTGCGCGCCATGTGGGACCCTCCTCCGGTGGCCGGGGAGCAGCCGGGGATCGAACCAGCGCCGCAGAGGCCGCGGGCAGCTTTGCAAGCCAGCGCTCAACCGCTGCGCCACCAGGGAGGCCCTATTTTTCTTTTTTTTTTTTTAAAAAAAAAAAAAAGATTTATTTATGCATACAAGAATGGGTTACAGGCCAGAGGTGTGGGAGGGTGAGAGAACTCACCAGAAAGAGTGGGAACAGAACAGGCAGATTGACTGAAATACACTGCTGAGGGAGCAGCAGGAGAGTCAGGAGAGGTCTGCTGCGCTATGTGGGTATCTCCCTGGTCGGGGATCAAGCTTGTGCTGCAGTGGCTGTGGATAGCTTCATAGGTTGTGACTTAAGCCCTTGCTCCACCAGGGAGGCGCCTTCTCTGGTTGTCTTTATGCCAAGTTATCTGTGCCTCTTGAGGCCTGTCATCTCTCAACCCCCTTTTATTTAGTATTTGTTATTTTTTTCTTTTAAAGATTTATTTATTTATACAAGAACTGGGGTACAGTCAGAGGCACGGGAGGGTGAGGGAATTCACCTGAGACAGAGCGGGGAGCAGAACAGGAAGATGGACTGAAGACACTGCTGAGGGGAGCAGTGGGCGAGGTGGGAGTGGTCTGCGCAGCATGTGGTTTTCCCCTGGCAGGCGCAAATCAAACTAGTGCTGCAGAGGCTGCGGACAGCTTCACAGAGCGGCACTCAACCTGCTGCGCCACTGGGAGGCCTATTTAGTGTTGTTTTTCCAACCCCTTTTAATATCTTAGCTAGGAAACCTACTACTGTGTCAGAGAAAGAACTGTCACAATCTGCACAGTATGTATTGTCAGTGAAGATGGCATATTTAAAGTAACAGGTTTATCAGAGCAAAAAAAAAAAGGTTTCCTTATAAAAGTGACTTGATTGGCAAAATAAAATGTTGGGGTGAGGGACTGACTAACTGGATAGCAGTCATACTATAGATACAATGCTACCATGAGGCCCCTCTAGGCACTCTCTCACCACTCTATAATACTATAACATAGTTTTCCCTTTCTTTCTATGGTTGTCTTTTTTTTTTTTAATCTATTTTTCTTTTTTTTTTTAAATTGAAGTTTTTTTTTTTTTTAATAGAGGCATGTTTTTATTTATTTATTTGTTTGTTTGTTTGTTTGTTTGTTTGTTATACATGCACTGGTACAGTCAGAAGCGTGGGAGGGTGAGAGAATTCACCAGAGCCAGAGCGGGGAGCAGAGCAGGCAGAAGGAAGTACACTGCTGAGGGGAGCAGTGGGCGGCAGGAGAGGTCTGCGCGCCATGTGGGACCCTCCTCCGGTGGCCGGGGAGCAGCCGGGGATCGAACCAGCGCCGCAGAGGCCGCGGGCAGCTTTGCAAGCCAGCGCTCAACCGCTGCGCCACCAGGGAGGCCCTATTTTTCTTTTTTTTTTTTTAAAAAAAAAAAAAAGATTTTTTATGCATACAAGAATGGGTTACAGGCCAGAGGTGTGGGAGGGTGAGAGAACTCACCAGAAAGAGTGGGGAACAGAACAGGCAGATTGACTGAAATACACTGCTGAGGGAGCAGCAGGAGAGTCAGGAGAGGTCTGCTGCGCTATGTGGGTATCTCCCTGGTCGGGGATCAAGCTTGTGCTGCAGTGGCTGTGGATAGCTTCATAGGTTGTGACTTAAGCCCTTGCTCCACCAGGGAGGCCCCTTCTCTGGTTGTCTTTATGCCAAGTTATCTGTGCCTCTTGAGGCCTGTCATCTCTCAACCCCCTTTTATTTAGTATTTGTTATTTTTTTCTTTTAAAGATTTATTTATTTATACAAGAACTGGGGTACAGTCAGAGGCACGGGAGGGTGAGGGAATTCACCTGAGACAGAGCGGGGAGCAGAACAGGAAGATGGACTGAAGACACTGCTGAGGGGAGCAGTGGGCGAGGTGGGAGTGGTCTGCGCAGCATGTGGTTTTCCCCTGGCAGGCGCAAATCAAACTAGTGCTGCAGAGGCTGCGGACAGCTTCACAGAGCGGCACTCAACCTGCTGCGCCACTGGGGAGGCCTATTTATGTTTGTTTTTCCAACCCCCTTTTAATATCTTAGCTAGGAAACCTTACTACTGTGTCAGAGAAAGAAACTGTCACAATCTGCACAGTATGTATTGTCAGTGAAGATGGCATATTTAAAGTAACAGGTTTATCAGATATAATTCACATACACACAAATATTTAAAGTGTACAATGTTGTTTTAATTTGTGCAGTTATACAACTGTCATTCAATCAGTTTTAAAACATTTTTGTCTAAAATTCCTCTGCTGTTTTCCCTACACATATCAGCTCTCCACCTCACTTCCCCCTAGTCCCTCAGCACTACGGAACTACTAATCTTTGTGTCTCTATGAATTAACTATTCTGGACATTTCATGTAAATGCAATCATGTGCTATATAGTCTTTTGATAATGTTTCATATTCCATGCAGCATGTTCCCAGTCCATCATTCCTTTTTATTGTTGAATAATCTCATTATATGGATGTACTACATTTTATCCCTTCAGGAGCTGATGGACATGTGAGTAGCTTCCTTTATGGTTAAGTCTTCTTCCAATATTCCTGTAAGTTTTTAAAGTTCAGGGCCTTCCTGGTGACCCAAGGGGTTAAGATGCAACCTATGAAGCTATCCGCAGTCACTGCAGCATGAGTTCAATCACAGGTTGAACTCTCCTGACTCTCCTGCTGCTCCCCTCAGCGGTATATTTCAGTCAATCTGCCTGTTCTGTTCCCCACTCTGTCTCTGGTAAGTCCTCTCACCCCCTACACCTCTGGCCTGTACCCCGTTCTTGTATGCATAAGTAAGTCTTAAAAAAAAAAAAAATACAATGGCCTTGCCATGGTTAAAAAAAAAAGTTTTTAAAATTCAGGCGAAATTCTCATAAACTACTTTTAAACAAATAATTTAGTAGCATTTAGTGTATTCACAATGTTATGCAACTACCACCTATCTCTATCTAGTTAAAAACATTTCATCACTCTAAAAATAAAACCTCGGGGGCCTCCCTGGTGGTGTAGGCGGTTGAGCTCCACACTGTGAAGCTGTCCCCAGCCTCTGCAGTGTGGGTTCCATCCCTGCCAGCTGGCGAGAATACCACACGGCAAAACAGACCTCACCTGTCTTCCCTGCTGCTCCCCTCAGCAGTGTATTTCTTCAGTTAGCCTGTTCTGTCCCCACCTCTGTCTCCGGTGAATCCTCTTACCCTCCCGTGCATTTGGCCTATATCCCAGTTCTTGTATAAAAATAAATAAATCTTTAAAAAAAATAAATAAAAATAAAACCTCGGGCTTCCCTGGTGGTGCAGGGGTTAAAGTCAGCGCTGACAAGCTATCTCCAGCCACTGCAGCATGAGTTCAATCCCTGGCTGGCCAGGGAGCAACCCACATGGCGCAGCAGACCTCTCCTGCCTCGCCCACTGCTCCCCTCAGCAATTTCAGTAGATCTGCCTGTTCTGCTCCCCACTCTGGTAAATCCTCTCACACACACACCCTCTGGCTTACACCCCAGTTCTTATATTCATAAATAAATCTTAAAATAAAACCTCATGCCAATTAAGCAGTTATTCCCCATTCTTCCATATTTCGCAGAACCTAGTAACCTATTGTTTCGATGGATTTACCTATTCTGAATATTTGATATCAATGGAATCATAGAATATGTGGTCTTTTCTGTCTGCCTTTTTTCATTTAGTACAGTGTTTTTGAAGTTCATTTAATTGTAGCAAGTATTACGAATTTCTTTTCATGGTTCAGTAATATTCCATGACATGTATATATTACAATTTGTTTATCCATTCATCTATTGATGGGTATTTCAGTTGTTCCCAACTTTTGGCTACTGCGAATTGTGATGATAAAAATATTTAGGTGCATGGGCCTCCCTGGTGGCGCAGCGGTTGAGCGCTCGGTTGAGAAGCTGCCCGCAACCTCTGCAGCTCTGGTTCGATCCCCGCCTACTCCCCGGCCACCGGAGGAAGGTCCCACATGGCCAGCAGACCTCTCCTGCTGCCCGCTGCTCCCCTCAGCATTGTACTTAGGTCCTTCTGCCTGCTCTGCTCCCCGCTCTGGCTCTGGTGAATTCTCTCACCCTCCCGCGC